AAAACACTCTTGGAACGAGACGTTTAAAAAGGCTCAATAGCTATGTGCATATGATCATATAAAATGATGTTTAATAAATAAAATGAACTCCAAAAAACAGAAACAAGAGGTTTTTTTTTTTACATTTTGTGGGTTTTTTTTTTGTTTTTTCTCATTTTCTCATTTTGTCGCTGTTTATGATTCCTTTACCTTTTGTCTTCTATGTAAGTTTATTTGATTTGGGGAGAGGAAGGGGGAGCACAGAAATGGTGGAACAAAGGGTGAACTAATTCAGTAGTGAGACTCAGTAACACTGTTGAAAATGAATTATAGAACTTGGGGAGAGAGATTGAGAAGGAAAAACATTGGGAGAAAATGAGGGAAAAAGACACTATTCAAAAAGAAATGTACTCATCTGACTTTATGTAACTGCAACCCCTCTGTACATCAACTTTATAACAAAACTATAAAATAAGAAAAAAAGAAAGAAAAAAGATGTCCAGATAAATAAGCCAGACACCATTTGTAGACAAATATGTGTGTGTGTGTGTGTGCACGCGCGCACACACACACACACACGCATGCATGTGCATGTATGCAAACTCAGGGCCTAGGTATTCTTTCTTGGCATTTTCACTCAAGGCTGGCTCTCTAGCACTTCAGCCATAGCTTAACTTTGGGGTTTTTTGGCGGTTAATAGGAGGTAAGAGTCTCATAGATATTTCTTCACTGGTTTTGAGACGCAATTCTCAGATCTTAGCCTCTTGAATAGCTAGAATCTTAAGTGGGAGCCCCTGATGCATGGCTCCCTACCCTCTAGTTTTTCTATTGTATCCTAAATTCTCTCTTAATTTATTTATTTTATTTGACATTTTTAGCCTATTATTCTTATTTCTTTACGAACACCTCAAAGAAGAATTCCTTGGAGCTCTTAAGTATTCTTAAGCTCTGTTGGACAACCACTGTTGTCTCAGAGTGGTTCTCATTAAAGTAATGCTGTTCCCAGGGGGCACTCAGTTATGTAAGGAGTCATTACTGAAGGAAGTACTATTAGCATCTACCAAGTGGAGGATAAAGGGGCTACTAAATATCCCATAATATTCAGAATAATAAGAACCCCTAAACTATCTAACCCAAAATACCAATCATGCTGAGGCCCATTGAAAAATCTGGATGTACTTCAGAAAACACTTCTGGGAGAGAAGTTCTGAAATTCCTGTTTGTTATTGTTAGAAACATGTATATTATACTCAATCAAAACATACTTTTCTAAAGCTTTTTGGGGGGGGCTTGTTTTTTGCCCATGAGTTTTATTTGTATGTCTATATCTTGAGATCGCAAAGTGTGAGGAAAATAGAATCCTTCATCTCCACAACAGGTTTTCAGGTACATTGACTACAAAGTCCCCAAAGATGCTCATTTTCAGGTTGAAAGACTACATACCACTGGGCATCAGTGGCTCAATCCTGTAATCCTAGCTACTCAGGAGGCTGAGATCTGAGGATCAAGGTTCAAAGCCAGCCCAGGAAGAAAAGTCCATGAGACTCTTATCTCCAATAAACCACTAGAAAAATGGACGTGGCATCATGGCTCAACCAGTAGAGGGCAGGGACAGTGCCCAAGCCCAGAGTTCAAGCCTCACAACTGACAAATAAAAAAATAAAAAATAAATAAATAAAGACTACATACCCATGCCGTTTTGCTTTTCATAAAAAAATCCTGATTTTAAAAATAAAGGAAATAATAAAAATTTAAAAAAATATTTTAATATTATCAGAGTAATAATAATGTAGCTTCCATATACCAACAACAAACTGTATCCAGGACTTCTACTGTTTGTTTTATTAACCTGATATTGACAGTATCTCTAGAAGACAAATCTTATTAGCACTATTTTATATATAATAAATCTGCGACTTAGTCATTATAATGAGGCACACACATATATAATAGGAACTAGTGGTAGAGTTAAGATTATTTTCTAAGCCAGCACTCTCCTGTAAAGGTTCACTATCTCTGTATTTCACATATAAATTGCTTCCTAATTCTTCAATATTCAGCCTATTTTTTATACTTCTGTTCCCTATGTCTTCTTCTTCCCCTTAATTTTCTATCTGTCTCAAGCCAGCTTCATAGCCATCACAACTCTGCCATAATCAAGATCAAAAGTGGGTGAGGACAGTTTTCAGTGGTTCATGCCTTTACTCAGAGGCTCAAATCTGAGGATCATGGTTCAAAGCCAACCCAGATAAGAAAGTCCATAAGATTCTTAGGTTCCAATTAACCTCCAAAGTGGAGCTGTGGCTCAAGTGATAGAGTGCTATTATTGGAGAAAGGGAAGGGAAGGGAAGGGAAGGGAGTAGAGAGAGATGGAAGGAGGGAGGGAGGGCAGGAAGGAAAGGATGATGGAAAATATTTTTATTTTAGACAAGTTTTTTTAACTTCTCTGTACTTGGCTTGGCTCTCAGGTCAGAACTGCTTTCTTTTTAAAGCCCATACAATCTATTTAGTGCCACAGGAAAGAAAAAATTTTCAAAATAAAATCTCAAACATAGATCTAAGATCAGACCAAATCTCTTAAATGACTTCATTTTTTTTAATTTAATTAAATTTTATTTGTGAACATACTGTACAGAGGGGTTGCAATTACATGGGCAGGATAATGCAAAGACAAATTTACTTATATAGTTTCTCCTTTTTCAAGTTTTCTTATTTTGTGATATAAATGTCAAGTTTATGGGATGGATGAATGAAGAGAAACAGAAAAATATTTTAGAATGGTCAAGGTAAAACAATAAACCCAAGCCCTAAGAATGATTGTTCTATATTCATGACACTTCTTGCTGTTCATTTGGGGCAAGAATGACCTTGGAAAGGTCATGACATGACTACAGGCTCCTGCTTCAAGGACTCTGAGCCCCAAAGTGTTACATTCTATTCAAGCAATGAAGTTCTCACTGTTCTTCATGACGACATTCTCCTTTCACACCAGTTAGCAGCCCACACAGCACCAGATAAAAGAGGTGTGTACTCATCTCTCATCACTCCCAGGGAGCATTTATGACTCAGTTCTACCCCATGGTAGGTGTTTTTGCCCTTTTCCTGGATGTTTTCATAGCAAAAACTCACATGGGAAATAAAAACCATCATTGTTGCTACAAATCTTTATATTGACATTTCTTGTGATCTTGCTATGGTGTTGATCCCTATAGTTGACTTTCACTTAACAAGTCTGGAATTATATTGTTTTCACTCCAATATTACACTGAGAACCAAATGTATAAAAAAAGGTGAAGTTACTTGCCAGAGTTTTGGATTTTTTTTTTCAGTTGTGGGGCTTGAACTCAGGGCCTGGGCCCTATCCCTGAGCTCTTTTGCTACAGGCTAGCGTTCTACCACTTTGAACTACAGCTCTACTTCCAATGAGTTTGGAGTTTTCAACTGGATTAATACACCCACTTTGAGTCCGATTTTAAACAAATCATATCCCTAAACTGCAGCATTTTGACATTCTTTTTCCTTTCTCTAACTCATCCAATTTTGTTCTCTTAACACGCACAATTAAATGGAGAATTCTTATTCTTATTGATCTTTGTTAGTAAGTTAATAAACACAAACATATTACCATTGATTGGAATGTTAATAAATTCCAGGGTTTACATACTAAGGAATATCACAGAGACACTAAAAAGCACAAGGCATAAAAAATTAACATCTCATAAAAAATTATCTGTGATTCATTGTTCAGTGAAGAGAGCCAATCACAGAACCATATGATCCAGGAAACAAATGTCACACTCCTACAAATGTCCATTCAGATAGGAAAACATTCTGGAGAAAAGTGCTGGAATAGGAAAATAATCAAGAAAAGTGTCCATTTTAGCCAGGTACAGATGGTTCACACCTGTAATCCTAGCTACTCAGGAAACTAACATCTGGAAGATCATTGTTCAAAGCCAGAGGTTTGACTTAAGTAGTAGAGATTCAGCCAAACAAGCTGAGACAGTGTAAGACCATGATTTGAACCCAATATACTGCCAAAAAATAAAAGAAAGAAGGAAGGAAGGAAGGAAGGAAGGGAGGAAGGGAGCAAGGGAGGGAGGGAGGGAGGGAGGGAGGGGAAGAAAGGAAAGAATTTTTCCCCTGTGGGTAAGTGGAGGGTGGGGAGGTGTATATGTATCTGTGTAAGTTATTTGAAAGTTAAGCTAATCATGGTAGTGTATACTTGAAATGTCAGTGCTCAGAAGAAAGAGGCCTCATGAGGCCAGCTATATAACAAAACCCTATGTATAAATAAAACAGTAAAATAAATAAGGGGAGGGGCTGGGTTGGGAGGGACAGGGGGAATGATGAAAGTGGTGATATTGATCAAGAGTCATTGCACTTGTCAACTGATTTGTTGAATGGTAACCCATTTATTCAACTAAAAGAGAGTAAAAATATAATTTACAATAATTATAAATAAAAATAATTGTAATGAAGAATAATAATATAATATTTGGAATGTTAAAATAGTAAATAGGCTAACCATATATGGTATCCATCCTTTAGCTAGAATTTTCCCATTACTTTTACTATTCTATTCTAGTTTGACTCTCCCAATGTGTAGCTTGAGTGCCAATGCCATTAGACTTACGTTTTCTAAATACTGTCTAGATTTTCTCTGACATATCTACTCTACCCAGGGTATCTTATTTGTATTTAGTTCTATCTCTCTGATGTATCTATTACATTTCCATACATAATCCATAAAAGGGTAAGTAAAAATAGTTAAGAAATTTTCTGTATTTTGGATCCACAAAAGTGCTAATAAATCTTAAATAAATGCATTCCTAAATTATAAGGTGTCAGAAAATTTAAGGAATAATTACAAAGCTTCTGAACAAACACTCATTTGTAAAATATGGCTTAAACATTAAGGCAATTGGAAGAACTCAATATTTTTTTAATAAAATGGAGCACATACAAAAAAAAATTACTACACTCCTAAGGTTTTTAAAAGTTAAAAACAAATGCCTTACCATTGTTAGTGTAAATGGATGGTTTTCTAATGCAGACACACTCGGACAATGTAGAATAATGTACTGAAAAAGCAAAAAACATCATTTTAAATGACCAATTGAAGAAGCTCAACAATTCTAACAAGGTGATATATACTTGCTTTGCACAAAGATATTGACTGACTCACCTGGCCAGGTCTTGCTTTAAAATTTTCTTTAACCATTCGAATTTCCATGACATCTGAGGGATGACTAATAACAGAGACAATGGTGACAGGCTTATTGCTCCGGAGGCACCTATAAAGTCTTTCAGCACAGTAGAGGCACAAAGGTCCAGAAATCCAAAGCCACGTCTAAAAGGATAAATGTTACAATAACTCTTTAAATAATACCTGGATTATCAAAAAAATGTATTTTCTGTTTGATGGTTTATTTTCCTCATTTCAGTAACAATATTTTAATTTATATTTTCACAGTCATAAAAATGAATAAGAGATAGTAGATGATACCTGCAATTCATCCAATGAAAAGTAAAGTATACAATAAGAGAATTGTTGAGACTCAACCCAAGTCTATTCTCCAAGTGAGTGCCCTTAATTGTGTGTGTGTGTGTGTGTGTGTGTGTGTGTGTGTGTGTTTCTCTCTCTCTCTCTCTCTCCATACTGGGACTTGAACTTAGGGCCTGAAGTATACAATAAGAGAATTGTTGAGACTCAACCCAAGTCTATTCTCCAAGTGAGTGCCCTTAATAGTGTGTGTGTGTGTGTGTGTGTGTGTTTCTCTCTCTCTCTCTCTCCATACTGGGACTTGAACTTAGGGCCTGAGCACTGTCCCTTAGATTTTCTCTTAAAGCTGGAGCTGACCACTGGAGCCACAGTCTGGTTTTTGCTAGTAAATTAGAGATAAGATTTCCACCAACTTTTCTGCTGACACTGGCTTTGGGCCACAAGCCTATAGAACTAGGATTCCAGGCATTAGCCACCAGTGTCTGGCAATAGGAAAGTATTCATCCTTCCATTCTCCTTTCTTACACACAAATATGACATGTATATACATAATGCCTTCCCTTAAAAAATAATTGTTGTTGTTGTTGTTGGTTGTGAGGCTTGAACTCTGGGCTTGGGCACTCTCCCTCACCTCAGCTCTTCAGCTCAAGGTGAGCACTCTACTACTTGCGTCACAGTGCCATTTCCAGTTTTCTGGTAGTTTTATTGGAGATAAGAGTCTCACTTTTCCTGCCTGGACTGGCTTTGAACTGCAATCCTTAGATCTCAGCCCCTGAATAGCTATGATTACAGGCGTGAGCCACTATTGATGGCTAAAAGATAATTTTAATTTTTTTATTGTGAAAATACTGTACAGAGGGGTTACAATTACATGGGCATTGTAGCCTCCTCTAAAAGATAATTTTTAAAAAGCCAAACCCCCATATTTATCTGAGGATGACTTTAAGATTAAAAAAAGTACCAGTCTAAAGTTCAGTAAAAACAAACAAAAGAAAAAAGTTCTAGATAATTTTTGTGTGGTGTGCCAATCCTGGGGCTTAAACTAGGACCCTGGGCTCTATCTCTGTTTTTTTTTTTTGTTCCAGGCTAACACTCTAGCATTTGAATGGTAACTCCCCTTCTAGTTTTCAGTGGTTATTTATAGATAAGCATCTAAGGAATTTCCTGCCTGGATTGGCTTTGAACCATAAGCCTCAGATCTCAGCCTCCTGAGTAGCTAGGATTACAGGTGTGAGCCAAAGGTGCCTGGTTGCTCTGGGTATTTTAATTCATCTAAAATGTATGTAAATGCATAACATAAATTTTACAAACTACAGGAATGTATACATATGAATGTTTTGTAAAATAGGATATTGTAGGAAATTTTTTTTACAGATTTTCATTCTATGGACTAAAAATACCTTCATGTAAACACTGTGACAATTGTAAACAGGGAAGAAGAGAGCTCTAGTTACATGGAAGTGAATACTACCTGTGTCTCCCTTGACTCTTTGAGTCTCTAAACTAAACTGTATTTTATAGATCACTACTTAAAATCTTATGTGCATAGCTTCAGGCTTTCCTCCTTTGTTGAGGATAGAGCATGTTTCTCTACACAGTGACATTTAGCCTGGCAGTAGATGAAGAGAAAGCAGGACAGGGAGAGCCTGTTGCATAGTACCCATGAAACCTTGCAACATCAGGTCCCAACTTCCTCATGCGGGACTCTCCATACTTGCCTTTGTTAATATTCGTTGAAGCTCGTAAGTTTTGATAACAGTACACTCTAATAGATAATCAGAGGATTATTATTAATAGCAGAAAATTAGCATACTTCTTCAAAAGTCATCAACAAACCAGCTGGTGGCTCATGTCTGTAATTCCTTAGAGGCTGAGCTCTAAGGATCATGGTTCAAAGCCAGTTGGGGTAGGAAAGTCCATGAGATGCTTATCGCCAATTAACTATCAAAAAGCCAGAGTGGAGTTATGGTTCAAGTGGTAATTTGAGCACAAAAGTCCAGGGACATCACCCAGGCCCTGAGCTCAATCCCTAGGACACACACACACACACACACACACACACACATCATCAATAATTTCATTCACACACACACACACACACACACACACACACACATACACGTCATCAATAATTTCATTCCAGTCTTTCATTTCTTCCTCTCTTGTAAAGCAGACTTTGACTCATGTATCAGTGCCTGGTGCAGTACATACAGAATACACAGTGTGACCCATACATGGATATATAAGGGAGATAGAGAACTTAATGGAAAAAAGCCAGGTCCTAGGGAATGTTTTACTATGGGAAAATTTTAAGACACAGTTTTGCAGGCAACTTCTACTTACTAGCTTGGAAGCCTCAGTCAAGGTATTTATGCATTTAAGTTGTATTTTGTCATCAGCAAACTTAGGATACTAGTGTGAATACTGAAAGAAATTATGCCTATGGAAAATTTCAGTATAGTTCTTAGCAGATAATATTAAGCATTTAATAAAATTCATTTTACTATTTATTATTTATAACATTATGTATTGTATGAATAGTTAGCTTAGTATTGTTTTTAATTAAACTGCTTTCCTCCATGAATTGGGAAGATGTATTTGTTATCTCTCTAGTAGCAATCCCTAATAACATAGCATACAAATATTATATAGCTAGGCAGAAATGTTGTATATTCTCAAATATCAAAAGTCTTTTGTCTTGAACTGTTAAATGCTTACCATGGACTTACAAGTAGGAACTGGACATCAAAGCATGTGAAACAACAGCTTTAAAAATGTTTAAATTGATGTTGGTTAATTGTATGAAACCATAAACTTTGCAGAGACAGAATACAGCAGGACTCTGACCTGTGGAAAGTTAGCTTGGAACCTGGGCTCTTCCACACAAATCTTCACAAGTGTGTTCCGATTAGGCTCTTCCAGTGTGGAAAACCCTCCCAGTGAAGAGTCAGGAAAATATTGTGGGAGGTTCCCCAGTAAGACTTCCTGGTATCGAGTTCGGTTGAGATTCATACAGCCAGGAGGGTGGGTATCTAAATTAGTCTGGTACTTCAACAGTCCTCTAAAACAATAACAACAACAAATAATGAAAAAAGAGAGATGAGAGTGGAGTGCTTAGTGGCTCATGTTTGTAATCCTAGCTACACAGGAGGCTGAAATGTGAGGATCATGATACAAAGCCAGCCTAGACAGGAAAATCTGTAAGATTCTTAACTCCAATTAATCAAAAAGCCAAAACAGGTACTGTGGTTTGAAGTAGTAGAGCTCTAGCCTTAAACACAAAATCTCAGATACAGTACTCAAGCCCTGAGTTCAAGCCTCAGAACTGGCACAAATAAAAGAGTGAGATAGAAAACAAATTGCCATCAGAGGACATGGAAAAGGAAATTTTTTAGCCTGGGGTTGAACTCAGGGACTGGGCACTGTCCTTGAGCTTCTTTTGCTCAAGCCTAGCAATCTACTACTTGAACCACAGTGCCACTTCCAGCTTTTTCTGTTTACATGGTACTGAGGACTCGAACCCAGGGCTTCATGAATGATAGGCAAGCACTCTACCACTAAGCTACATTCCCAGCCCTGGAAAACTATATTTTTATTGCTGGATTTCTTGTGTGTCATATTTAGAAGAAACTAAAATCTCTTATAAATGTAATATATTTTTTTCTAAAAACTAGACAAAAATCATTGCCCTCCACAGGCACACTACAAATCCATGATAGGTGAAAACAGATGCAATCTTTCTAAATACTTTTTAATTTTCAGACTCTACTGAGCATCTTCTACTGGATATTCATGTAATCATAAACACCACAAATTTTTACTTCAATAAACACTAGCATGATGACTATCTGGCTGTATCTCTAAATAAGAGAAATGATGTGGTCTTTGTCCTCACCAAGCAAGTCACTTTCCTATGGAAACTTGCATGCTGGCAAAGGTTGTCTAACTCTGTGCTATAGTTGAAAACCACATGTGGCTCTTGAACATAAAAATATGGCCAGTATAAGCAACAAACTGAATTTGTATGTGTGTGTATGTGTGTGTGAGTGTATGCACACAACCGCATGTGTGTGCACACACTCAGGCGCATGCAAGCATATACCAATAATGAGGCCATGTCCTGTCCTTTACCTTTTTCACTTTAGGTGAGTGTGCTACCACTTGAGTGGTTTATTCCTGGTATTTTGCTAGTAAATTGTAGATAAGTGTCTTATTGACTTTTTTTGCTCAGACTGGCTTTGAACCAGGATCCTCAGATCTCAGGCTCTTGAGTAGACAGGATTACAGCCATAAGCCACCAGCTCCCAGTAAATAAACTAAATTTTTCATTTTACTTCAAATGAAATTTGAGGATACACAATAGATCTAATATGAAAGCATGAACATTACATCAGTGAAGGAGTGTAATTGTTAGTGTCATCTAGATGTATAATGTACTGTACAAATGGGTGATGAACTTTGATTATACCATTTTGGAAAGTCCTTTCTAGAGAGCTAGGTGAGTGAAGAATGTTGAGCTCCAATTAGTCTAGAGCAGGAGAATGATTTCAGTGTGGGGGAACAAGCTGAGCCGAGGTGAGTCTGCTCCTTTGTTGGTAGAGGAAACATGTCCAGGGAATTCCCAACTCGTCTCTCTGTTCCCACTGCCCATCCCCATCTCTCCTCAGCACACTATTTACACATAGTAGGTCTCTTCTGCATTACCTAATAATTGATTTTAAAAACAATAAATAAGTACATTATTTGTTCCGTACAAGAAGTGTATCTTGAAATCAAAAAGGGACATTCTACCAGGCACTGATGGCTCGTACCTGTAATCCTAGTAAGTCAGGTGGGCTGTAATCTGGAAATGGAAGTTGGAAAATGAACAGGAAAATCTGTGAGACTCTTATCTCAAATTCACCACCAAAAAGCCAGAATTGGAGCTGTAGTTCAAGTAGTAGAGTGCTAGCCTTGAGCACAACAGTTCAGGGATATCTTCCAGCCTCTGAGTTCAAGCCCCAGGACCAAAAGTAAAAAGGAAATTCCTTGTGTGTACTATAGCTATCACAAATAACTGACCAACTTTTTGAAGTAAAACCCACAAGGAGAAAAAAGTTAGGAAATAGGAGATCTTGAGCAGGCATACGAACTTTGAGGAGTTAGAAATCCTTAGTGTTAATTCTAAGACTCCTTGTATTATATTCCCAAGGAGAAAAATCTGAAGAATCTGAGGACTGCCAAGTATTCTTCTATAATGAGACATAAATTATAATGCATCAAATAAATGGCTTAAATGCCATTGTTTTGCTCTTATGAAAACTTTAACATGTGCCTTCAACATTCTACAACATTACAAAAATACAGGTGTGTGACTTATTTTGTTTTTCTCTTAAATGCCTTTTATGTCTCCTATTGCTGGCTTTTTAATTGTTTGGATGATTTTTATTGCCTGCCTGTGCTAATGTTATAGAAAATAATATAGTACCTTGGATGACATATAGTAGTTTAAAACATACAAATAATAAAATCACAAAACATACAAATTCTGAACATAAATATTACAAATTATTCCTGGGACTATAGCTCACACCTGTAATCCTAGCCACTCAGGAAGCAGAAATCAGGGGGTGATGGTTTGTGTCCAACTGCTGCTAAAAGTTAGTGAGACCACATCTCAATCAATAAAAAGCTAGGCATAATGGTGTATACTTGTCATTCTACCTGGCAGTCCAAGCTGGCCTGAATAAAAAGGGGGACCACAATAAAAACAATTACAAGAGACAAATGAGGGCTGGGAAGGTGGCTCAGTGGTAGAGCGCTTGCCTTGCATGCATGAGGCCCTGGGTTCGATTCCTCAGCACCACATAAGCAGAAAAAAAAAAGCACTGTGGTTCAAGTGGTAGAGCGCTAGCCTTGAGCTGAAGAGCTAAGGACAGCACCCAGGCTCAGAGTTCTGGGCCCACGACGGACCCCCCCCCAAAAAAAAGAAAAATGAGTGGGAACATAACTAAAATGAGGCTTGCCTATCAAGCACAAGGAACTCAGTACTATCTAAGAGAAAATCCCAATTTAAGCATTTTGTTTTTTCCCTTCCCCTTCCCAAATCAGAGAAGTGTATATACAAGATGCTGGGCACCGACATCAAATACAGTGAAAACAGGGGTTATACCTTGAGGGAGGAATATACAAAGAAAAAAAAATCACATGGTACATTATAAATACGTTAGAAACAATAGCAAGAAAGAAAAAAAAAAACAGTTGTGTCCCTATCTTGAGGTTCATTTCACTTAACATTATCTTATCTGGCCATATGTACATAGCTTTTGACCTTTTCTGTTTGTCCCAGACATATACTAGTTATTGCAAATAAGGGGAAACCATGGGACCTATGTTTCTTCGGGCCTAGCTTACTTCACTTAATATAATTTTTCCCATCTTTCCTTTTTCTAACAAATGGGGCGATGTCATTCTACAGGTTGACCCTTTGTAACAATGAGATTTACAAGACACACTATGTTGTGAAACGAACTTTACAATTGAGGCAAAGGGGGGGATGTATTTGTGGAGATGGGAGGGAAGGGATGGTAGAGGAAAAACAAAGGAGGAGGTAACAATGCTTGATAGGAAATGTACTCATTACTTTGCTTAGGTAACTAACCTCTCTGTGCAGTATTTTTACAATAAAAAAGTATTTAAAAAAAGGAAATCCTAAAATAAAAAATATCACACCAATCAAAAGAACAATCACAAAACTAGTTTCTTCTACTAACCTATAATATGATTTTCTTTATAGTAAAAATGCAACTTTTCAATATAGTTTGTTTTACTTTGCTTGAAGGAGAAAGAGAGGAGAGAGAAAATAACATCAGAAAACAAAACCAAATACTACATTTGAATGGTATATTTTACATCTTAAAGTTAATCACCACAAGTCTCTGCTCCACTGGAATCCACTAGGATATGTTCTCATGAAGGTTTGTCTTGTTTCATGGCTATTTTTCTAGCACCAAAAGAGGAGTCTCTAAGTGTTCAGTATTTGTTGAATACTTATTTTGTGGTTGAAAAGTTATTTTAACACACAATTGTTGTTGAATCACATAATTGAGGAACCACTTTTTTCACAAACATTGACTTTTTAATACATTTTTCTATTTTCAAAATTATAACTAGATATTAACAAATGGTTCTTAGTAAAAAAATAAGTTACATAAGTGCACTCACATTTACAATAAGTTATCACTAATTGGATCTACTATTTATGCCACTTGCTCTCACCAGTAAACACTGCTAAATGCATTCTCCAATATCAGATAGCCATGCACTGAGCAAGCCAATCCTGCCCTGAGCAGACAGTTATCAAGGTTGTCAGACTACCTGCTAGGAGCAGCTGAAGGCAGAGTGCTTTTAAGCCAGGGATGCTGAATTCCTCAGGGAAATCCAGATTATTAAAGTGTCTTCTCCCTTTGTACATTCCTTGCCTAGCCCAGCAAAGGCTGGATTCTTGCTTTTGACATTTGAGTCTTCTATTCATGCAACTTAACCACAGCAGGAATTATGCTTAATTCTTAATGGCAGTGCTGCTCAAACTTAGAAGCCAGTGCCTGCATCGAGAGTTTCGGTTGTATCCTAAGACAACAGGGCCTCCTCTTTGGAAGGCCATGTCATTGGGTCCATGCTCTGATATAACCGTTCTAAAATGTTAATACATTTCAGTGAAGAAGCTCTGCATTTTCATGGTACAGAGGGAACTTTGAAATCAAGTAGACCCAATTTGTACATGACCAACAGATCTGAGCACCAGAGCACAAAGAATGAGGATCAAATCTCACAGTGAAATATACCATTTCACTGTTTCCTCAACCAATAAGGACATATATGATTGGTCCTCACTACTTACAGACACACAAAGGAAAAGGGTTTGACTTCCTATAAAGAACTAAACATATAAGCATTCTTTATATCTTAGTATTTCAACTGCTTGCAAGCTTAAGGAAAAAAGCAGGATTCCACATTTCATTTTAACAAACCCACTAATTTTCCAAAATAGTTCCTCAAATGAATGTAACCTGAGTTCCTTTT